ATGCCTGTGACACTATACGAGAAAGGTTCCTACAGTTCATATTTGTATGAAACAATAAACACAAATATAGGGAACACAGAGGTCTTCCTTTTGAGTCCTCCGAGACATTTCCTATTCAGTACAACACTGTTCTAGCTTTGCAGCAAAAGTGTGGTATAAGCACGGCCACAATTTGGAGGAACCGGTCAGAATAACATAGATTACAAAACAAAGGTCCATAAGGCACATCAGTTTTGAGTCATGAGGCTGGCATTTCACAAGCATGCTGGGTTATAATTGTCTAATCTTTTCAGAGTCGTTATGTGCATGTGCATGCATGTAAATCACAGGAAGGGGACTGAAGTCCATTCAAACTGAAAGTCTATACTCTTAAAGAGCTGGCGTGTGGAAACAGAACTCAGATGAATTCCGAGGATAAGTAAAAACAGGCTTAAAACCAGGTACGCAAAGGGGAACATCAAGTGGAAAACTCTGCATTTACAATTTCTCAAATGAAGTCATAAAGCCTCTGAACACTGCTAAGTATCGTTTGCCAGATGGTGGAGAAAGACTGAAGTGACTCCGGAGAACCTCGATCATGACCATAAGTGACTGCTAGCTATGTAACATACTAAGGACAGTCTTGGTAACGATGCATTATGCAAAGGTAAATCGCAAAGAAATAGAAGACGTGCATAAACTCTGTCAGTTCATGAACCAGACTGCTTCAGTAAGCTTTCCTGCATATTGTTAACACAATGTAATTATTTTTCACTGTTATACTTCTTTTTAATTGGTTGAAGACAGGCTCCTCCATAGGAAACGCCGGTATGAGTGAACAGGGTATTTATTTCCTTGCCACATTAAGAAGCTTTAAACCACAAAATACTCCCACAGTCCTGACTCTGGAAGCATACGTGCACATCATCACTGCTACGAGAAGTACTTTTTAATGTAAAAAGCAAGAGTGTCAATAAACACTTGAAAGTGACTGGAGATCTATCTTGGAGCTCAGACAACAACTGATGCTTTCAGAGGCTACAGTCCAAGCCTTCCTGGCCATTATGAAATGCTTCAGGAAGTATGAAGCTATGGTGAAAAGGTCTACAGAACCGGCTCAAAAGGAAAGCTTTGAGTCAGCTTTTGCGTGTGAGATAGTGACATCCAGTGGCCAGTTCGGTTAACTGTAATGATCTCTTCCCCTGATGCACAGAAAAACACCAATACTTGTATTTTGTTGAAACACACTGAAGTATTTAAAACCTATTTAAAAATATTAAAAACATTTAAATAGAAAAATATACACAATGTGAGATTCCTAAAAAGAGATACTTTGATATATTAATGATAAAAAATGGTGTGTTCATCTAAGTGAAAAATTACATTTTGCTTGTAATTTTTAGTCAAGCTTACAATAACAGTAAGCAAAAATGTTTAGCTGTTTTTAAAGAAATAGAACATTCCCTACATCACAGCTGTATTCTCTTCTATCTCGTTCACACAAAGAATCACTACTCCTTTTTTCCCTTGCATTACCAGTTCCCATAAAAAAAACAGAGTTCAAGATTTGAGTTTATGATTCTCAAAATCCATAAAGCAATTCTCCATAGACTCTTCCTCCATTTAGGATTCACAGCCACAGCAGATCACCATCTAACATAGCTTTTCTGGAGTAGATCCCTTCTTTTAAGATCCAGCTGATGAAAAGTAGTAAGACTGTCCTTTATAGTTCTTTATTTACAATACACACAAGGATGCAGGAGACCTCAATTTACTGTCCTCCCGTGCCTTTCGGAGATACGTGTTTTTTATGGGAGATGGGGATATCTAAACCACATATCTACTAAGCTAGCAAATACTCCTGAGGAACAGACATTCAAATTCCCTTATTGGATCTGTTCCATTTTGCCTAGAATAATGAGATTCATTGGACCAAAAAGAGGTGAAAATACACTCCAAGCTAAGGATATGGCATTTCAGTGGATGTGGAAAAAGAGAGAATTCTAGGTTTTCATTCTTGGAAACTCATCTCATCTCAGTTACTACTTTTCCACAGGGAACAAGGCCAACTTCAAACTCCAGGAAGTGTGCCAACTAAATTCTGCTAATCTATCTTTTCACAGATTTATATGCAACAAACTACTTACTACTATAGTAAAGTTGCCAGGTTAATATTACTTTCTCCCTTTTAATGTTTTTCCACACTGGCTGACACCATGTGCTGTTGTGGAAAGAGACGTTAAGGCTGAAGACTTGAATCACTGCCTGCAAGATACACAGAACCAGTAACAAATCACCTCTGTCTCGTCTTACTCTCCCAAGGATCCAACTGAGCAGCTACCAGCTTTTCTGTACGCACGTTCCAAACTGAAATAAATAGGGTCTTTCGCAAGCAACCTAAATTCAGTTCTCCCAATTAAAAGCAAAGGTATTCCACCAGCCTTAAACATTTGGCTCTCATTCACTTATACACACAAAATTCTAAGCAGGCAAAACAGTCTCTAAATTCATGATGTAATTATTTTGGTTTGTCAGCAAGCAGGCACTTACATTATGTTATTGCACTATCACTTCATAAATCCAGACACATAACTAAGAAAAGCCACGCTTTACTTAATTCTGAGGGTTTCTCTTATGGTTAAAGACACCTACTTTTTTTTTTTTTTTTTTTTTAAACTTAGCTCTTAAACTTAGTGTTTCTTAGGCAGGGTTAGCTAGAGGACAACTCAGATAAAAGTTTGAGTCTTTCTGAAATGTAGAAAATGGGAGTATTTTTCTGACAAACATATATATGGAAACCACATATCTGTGTTTGTGAAAATTTATCCTATGTAACTGTTACATTTACTTATAGTTTCAGTAGTCAGGGAAGGTTTAAAAACACCAGGCTTACAATTCTGAAGTGTACATTTTGAGATGTTTGCGTGTCAAAGAAATACTGATTTAATTGTGGAATTTGGAGCTGTCTGTACTTTCACTCGGCAATACTTTTAGAAGAGAAAAAACCCCCCACCATGTTGATACTTCCTAAACCAAGTATTATCCACCTCCTAGCTATCGCATTATGTCAGTGGTATCAGAAATCAACAGATAATATACAGCTCAAATGGATTTTTACTTGCTAATTAAAAATAAACTGCCTGCCACTCACACTCTAGGGTTATTTGCTCTTCAATTTTGTTAAAGGGCTGTAATGACCTGGGATTTTATATTAAAGGGCAAAATTACTCTGGTAATGCAACACAAAATGAAATACTGCCTGAAAGGTCAACTACACTGAGAGGAAGAGGAAAGAGAATTTAAGCAAGCACAAGACTTTTTTTTTTATTTCCCTTGGGATCACCAAAGGTAGAGAGAATTTCTCTAATAAATCTTGTGCCAAGCAAGAGTAACACAAAATCGGGTAAAACAGAAAAAGTAATTTCTGTTATCTTGTCTGTGCTATGCTAGAAAGGACAGCGCTAATTGTTGTATCTCACCAGTTTCATATACTTACAGGAGAGGGAATTTTCATTTTTTCCAACTTCACACACAAGAAAGAAGACAAAACACTGAACTATTTGCAGAAAGTTTGCCTTGGATGTACTAAATAAGGCACATCACTGTTCTCCATTGCAAGAGACTTGCTGCTTAGCTGCTCTGAACCACCTCATTTACTGTGAATCAAATTCATACATGCTGTGAACAAAAAGGCTATTGATAATAGGTGGTATCTCAATATAAGGTACTACAGTTTTAAGTGTGTGACACAAACAATTGTGCATTGATACTGTTGCAGAACAGTTCACAAGAGGAAAGTCAGGAGCACAGTATTTGTGTGGTCATGCTTAGGGCCATGTATGAAAAACTGCATACCTCTTCCCCATCCCATCAAATCATAAGAGAAAAGCTGAGCTTTTCTAAACCAGCCTGGTAGGACTACATATAAAAATTAGAGAGGCCTGTTCCTTGGTCCTGAAGACAGGTGCCACAGCCTATCTTGCAACCATTTGGATAGATTCTGTTCACTCCTTCAAAACAGGGACTGCTCCCAAAAGGCACGTGCTATCTAACAGACCACTAGAGATGGTTTTCATGGAGGAGTGACAGTTGACGCTACCCAACATTGCATCAAGAGTTGCAACAGAATGGACAATTATGGGACAACGTTGCAAGCCTGCATCTATTCAGTTTGCTAATATAAAGTAGCCTAGCTGTATGTAATTCTTGACAGAGCAATGAGGAGACCATGCTAAGTTAATCCATGGGAAAGGTAAAGAAATGGATCCCAGACTAACACTGCACTGCCCTTCCACAACGTTGTGAAGCCCTCCAGAAAGTTTCACTCTCTCCCTAACTGGGAGACTCACAAACTGTGTATGCATATGCATCTGCTTATCTCCCTCGGGTCCATATTTCCACGGTTGTGAAGATTATTCAAGTATTTAAAATTAATTTCACAAATACTTAGCCTAAAAACTTACTAGTGTTCTGTGTTTTTGTACCCAACTGTTCTTTATTTTGTAGATCTTTCCTATGTCTTAAATGACATCTATTTTAGACAGAAGTTTAGGTCTCCACATAAAGGTTTAACTGCTTCCAGATACAACTTTTACTAAATACGTATGGACACTTTTTCCTTTTGTTCACCCCCCCCCCCCCCATTTCCTTAATCCAATAAAAACAGGTTACTCTGAGCAAAACTGAAGTCGTCTTCATTTTTACCAGAGTTAACTTTTCAGTTATTTATTAAAAAAAAGGTAAAGCATAAAAAAAAAGGAACAAAACTGCATAGAACATAGAAGTTTCTCTCCTTTTCTGTTCTACAAATAAGCAAAAACTATCAAAATTTCATCCAGTTTTCAGAAGAGATATTTATCTAGCAGCATTAAAATCATGAAATGTAAATTGAAAAAACCCGCAGAGATCGTTTTGAATTACTTATATGAATTAAGCACAAGATTTTACCAAATTGGGAATTTTTATAAGAAAAAAGAAAGAAAAAATCCATCCAAGCAAAAAATTAATAGAAATTAACTCAATTTAAGATACAGTAGACAATTTTATTTATAAAATGCTAGTGGCACATGATACACATCAGAAGTATGAAACTTGATTTATAAAGAAGTGAAATGCTTCATAGAAGCATGGATTCCTGAGGTATTCTGAATACAATCCCTCATTTACTGGAATTCACAACACTGCTCCAATTGGCTTAAGCAGCAGAAGACTGGATATTTCATAAACGCACAGTTACAACATAGTTAAAAAATACACAGGCAGATGGAAACAGCCTCGAAGATTGTGTCTCACCAACACTAATAGTCTTGGTCATGGTGGAAAACTATCTTACATAGAAGGGCACAAAGACCTGTTTCTCAATTTCGCAGCCAATTCAAATGTATTGTACCTGCTTTCACCTCATTGTCCACAGCCACAGGTTGCAAAGTCCTCTTGACATCAGACACAAAAACACTGCTGTTTCTGGATAAACATACAGAATGACTGATTACCTGGACAAGTATTATTACAATTTAAAAAATAAATAAATATAGTGTTAGGCGCTTTCAATTCTTTTTCTCTTTTTCTGCTTTAATTCTCTGCTGTAGCGTCTTCAGTTCAGTCATTACATTCAAAGTTCTGTAAACCCAGGTGACCTGAAAAGTAAGTAAATTATTAAATTGAACTAATCCACATACATTTACTTATCAATTTAATGAAAGCATCCATATAAATGAACACATACATACCACAATTATAACAGTATTCACCAGCAGTGGTGCTGAAAATACAAGTGAAATAAACATTCCTCTTGAATCAAAGTATTGGTATTTAGAAAACAGCCTGAAAGAAATAAAATAAAGAAAAATAAAAGAGGAAGCTTTATTCAGTGTAGTTCACATAACATTACTTTCACACTAAATATTCAACATGGACATTGTACAGATTATCCTACTCCTTGGGATCCCCAAGCATAGGCCAGCATTCTACTGTATTAAGTCAGAACAAAGACAGAGTCAGTATCTCATCAGTTATGAATATTTATTACAATACCAGTCTTTCTTTTCATTAAAGTTTTACTGTGCAAAACCTAAATAAAACAACCATAGATTAAGTAACTTACTAATGTGACTACAATAGTATATATATATTTGTGCATGAGAAATCATGCTTACCCTGAAGTGTCAAAAATTACTTTCTCAGGTATTTTGCTTAGTCATATTAGAAAAGATAACAGAAATAATAAAGGTAGCAAAGCTGTAATTTAGGTCATGTATGCCTGAAGTGAAACAAAGACTTACAATTAGATGCCTGCACAAAGTAGTGTTAAACACTTGATTTCCAGTTACACCAGGGAAAAGTTGGTTCAGTGCTTATGAAAATAAGCCATCAGTTTAATTCTGGTACACAGGCTTAGTAAAATAGACAAATGTTGATGCTTTTTATGCATGTAAATAAGTATATAAAATAGTAGTGATATTTTTGAGAAGTGGTGCTTAACTTCAGCTTATTAAAACATGAATAGCTAGAAAGAAAACTCAACAGAAACAAACAAAAAAAAAAAAATCAAAGCTCGCATCCTTTTCCCCTTAATCATTGCACTCTGCTTTTCTCTTAGCTCTCTGACTAGTTAGTTTACAACCATCCATATAAACATAGATTTTAAGGAGTATAATAAGCACATCCTAGCTGTTAAAAATGATCTTTTCTTATAAGCTAAGTGATAACTATGGTATACTGTACGGTTTTGTTCAAAAGTTTTATATTAATCAATGCAACAAACTCTCTGCCATCACATTCTACTGATGATGACTGACTAACAATGTTTTCTGGGAATGATACGAAAAAAGGAATATTTTTAGAACAACATTCATTTAAATGCAAAAATGAAAGTGAAGACGTTTACCTCCAATTCATGGCTGCTAATTCATTTATATATTCAGCGCAGTACACTAAGCCCACTGTACAACAAAGGAAAAATATCAGATTCAATACTTCTTTAAAAATAAACTGCCATCAGTTCTGCCATGTGTACTAAAGTGGATACATACCAGACATTGTAATTCCTTGATCCTCAGAAGATCAAATTACACATTTAATATTTAATGGCACAAACCCAGTTCTGATTTAAATGTCCCATATAGTTACTAAGAAGTATAAAGTGATCACAAAACATACCCACTATACTACAGACAAACAAACATAAAATCCTACTCCTCTGATCTTACATACAAATGAATAATAATTAAAAAAAAAAAAAAAAAATCAGTATTTTTTCCAACAATCTTCTTGGTGACTGCTTCTAAGTTATGTCTTTAAAAGGAAATGTCAGCACTCCCCCAAACTGGTATGGAATTAAGTTACCATTTTAGATGTTATGGTATCATACTGCTATATCTAATGTTACTATCTGAAGTTAGGGTACTAATTATATATAAGCATTTTGGTGAAATACAAACTTTGTTTTAATCGGTGTATGGCAGAGTAGTCCACTGCAGTCAGGTGAAAACTAGCATAATCTTACTCAACAATTACACGCGATATGAAGCCATCAAGACAGTAAGAAAATTCAGTGCAATCACATGTTTAACAGAAAAGCAATACAACTACAGAATTTAAGTTTGTCCTTGTATCATTTTCCACAAGAAACAAAGCAAGAAAAACAGATTCAGTGGCTAAAGATGACCTGCACAAGGCAATTAATTAACTAGCCCTGTGATATGAAGAATTGTTATCTTGTTTTGCATCATCTGGATTATCTCTGCTTGGTACTGCACAGTATAAACATACCTACAGCTGCTCAGCTGCCAAGGTAAACTAATGCAATAATTCCATAACTTCCTCAGTTATTTCTGACTATCTGCGATACAAAATTATTTATACTGCAGACATATTAAAAGTGGTTCAGTTTTTCAGGTACAAAGCTTGGACTCAGTATAGATATTTTTATGCACTCTTCTTGTTAACAGCACCTTAAAAAGCCAACAATGATCAGTTCCACTGCATTTTCCAATGCAGTTAGACCACAGACATTCAAACTAGTGTTAGTAACATTAGGAATACTTTAGATAAAGAGTCTAAAGTAAACAGCATGTCATTGGAAATTCTGAATGTCTAATATTAAATTTAAGAAAGAAAAGCTTGTATTCTTATAGGAAACTTCCAGGCTCAATGTGTCATTAACAGGACATTGTTATTATGCCCTCTGTAGATCATTTTAAACTCTGCAGTTACAAGTGGATGTACAGAAATTACTAAGGTTTCTAGATTCCTTTTTGGGAGTACTTAATGTTATTAAAACCTTAGCTTTAGCTAAGTTATTTGCAGTTTTGAGGAAGCTATAATGCCTCTCCCAACTTGACTAGGTCGCTAAATGGTATTTTAAAAAGTCAACGTAGTCTTCATGTGGCTTTTTGCCTGTGAATCTCTTTCAATTGCTCATTCCTCCTCCACTACCCTGCAAGCATGACAGAACTGAGGTACTGTGTAAAAAAAACCCAACTCACCAGAAAATCCAAAGCATGGCTAGAACCAAGGTACTGCTCATAATATGTGGATCTAACCCAAATCCATGCCATCTTAATTAAACCAAATACCCTCTGCCAAGCTGCTAGATCTTCAGCCAGTCAGCCATAAAGACACAGCTTTGGCTAGGCAAGGCCACTGTGGATTCTCAGGCTGAAGTCTGATAAACCCTGAGATAACACAAGTTGTTACTGCAATGTACCAAACCAGCCTTGCTCTTCCTTGTGCCATTATCACAGCTGTCAGCGGGGCATATGGTGAACCTGCTCCAGCAGCAAATCCAGTCGAAAGCTGACCATATTTGCTGAACTGCAGCATTAGAATAAGGCAGAGTAGAAAGCGACTGCTGGCTTTCAGCCAATTTCTTTCCCACTTCTCCAGCACAGCAACAATTTCTTGGGAAGCTGTGATACACACAGCATTTACCATGCAGAAACCTTACTTATCCCGGATCCCTACTAAGGCCAGAGTTTTAAAACACTACTTCATACAGTCTTGCAAACGAACTAAATACATATTTATAGGTCATAGCAGCTTCTGTAACGGTTTATCATGTATAGACACACGCATTACTACAAGAAAAATACTCATTTGCATGCACTTTATCTGCTGCAAAGTGTAAACCCGTGCGCTGTGCAAGTACATGAAGAAAAGGGTTATCATTAAGAGACCAAAAGAAGTTATTTGCCAGCACTAGCAGCCTAAGCCACGCACATGCCCTCTGCCACCCGAGGGCCGGCTCACGGAAGAGGAACGCACTACTCACCCATGCAGAGGAAGTGCCCTATTTGCACCCGGTAGTGCTGGAAGGAGATGCACGTTAGGAGGAAGCAGAGGACGTGGAAAACCGCCAGCCCCACCAGCCAGGGCTCGGACCAGTCCGTCCTCTACGGACAAAATGAAAGCAGATTAGGCCCTGGCAGGAGAAGGAGCGTCGCCAGGCAGCTAGAGCGAGCACCCTTCCTTCTCCCGCCCCGGAACGACAACCGCTTTCAGTCACGAACCGCACTCAGCGGCCCGCCCCGTGCCAAGCTGGGGAAGCGGCGAGCACCCCAGCGCGGCCTCTCCCCCGCCCACAGGGGGGCCCGGCGCCTACCTCCCCTCTCCCCGGGCGAGCAGCCAGCCCGGCCCCGGCTCCCTCCTTACCGCCAGGACGGCGGACAGCCCCGGCGGGCCGCTCAACGGCTGCTCCATGGCGGCGGCGGCGGCGGCGGCGCCGCTGCTGGCGGCCGCCGAAGTCTGGCGAGACGCCTCCCGCCGGCGGGCGGCGTCTCGCGAGAGTTGGGCCGCCACCCCGTTCCCTGCCCCGCGGCGGCAGCCCGGAGGGGTTGGGCGGGAGGGGGAGCTTCGTCCCTGCCGCTGGGCCGGTGGAGGGGAAAGGGGCTGTTTGTCTGGCACGGCTGGCACTTCCAGGGCTGCCCTCATCCCCTCGGAGCGGGAAAGGGTGGTGGCTGGTCCCGCGTGTGGGAGGACGGGCAGAGGAAGCTCTCCGCACCCCGGTGGCTGCCTCTCCTGAGGCTGGCGCCGCGCCAGAACCGTCTCTCGTGGTTCTGTGACTGAAGTTGTGTTCCTCAAAAACGACCCTGGCTTTTCAGGAGGGGGGCAAGAAGCTCTGGTTTTGTTTTAAGCATTCGACACTGAAGTTAGGAAGCTAGCGGGAGAGGGTTTTTTGTCACGATCTGCCGGGTGGAGTCAGGCTGGTGTCAGGGTGTTCGGGGCACTTCGGATGGGTGGCCCAGCACTGGTGTGGGCTTTGTGGTCTCTCAGCAACACTCAGTGGCCGGCTTCAGCTGCTGTAGGGTTGGAAGTGCAGGAAAAGGGGAGTTTTAAGCCCAGCTGGAAATTTCTGACAAAAAAAACCCCAGTTGAGCACTCCAGGCAGGAACTTAAGTGAAAAATATTATTTTTTTTCCAAATTAAAAAAAAAAAACAAACCAACATTGATTACTGTACAATGCAAAGTGAATAAGACATCTATAACTCCTTTTGCTGAATGCATGTAAGTGGAAGAACTGACGACTCTTACAGACGCATCACTTACAGAGACATTTCAAACTCAGATTCCTATCTACTAAGCCAGGAGACTTCAGGAATCTTACTAGGGTTAGCTTTGTCAAAGAAACCACACTGTCATATAGAGCTCCCCATTCTGCTTTCATGAAATTATATTTTCTGACACTTTGGCTTATCAGACATGAAGCTTTGGCTTTTTTTCAAAATGTTTGGAAGTGTATGTATAAGTAAATCTTAGAAATAAATACTTTTTTTCATTTAGTCTACCATATAGCCAAATACAGGTCATCGCTGTGAACTAGTCTCTTTTCACTGTCACACTTAGGCAATTTAGTGTGAGATACCTGAAACTGAGGATGTGTTTCTCTGTTTTGCTTTAGGTTTTTGGTAGTCTTTTTCTCAACAACAATAATATCTGGAGGCTAATCGAGGCTTTTACTTAAAGCATTGTAAAATTAAGTAAGGTGATGCAAAGGTGGGCATTTCTACTACTGTTCTGCTCTTAATTTTAAGACTAGGGGAAAAAAGATGTTTCGATTTCACATTGTAGATTGGGAAATAAGACAGGAAGAAACTGACTTGTCATTTGGAAAGTCTTATGGCCAATGTAACAATTCAAATGGTTTTGAATTTTTGTAAATGAGGAATCAGTTTCTTGTAATTGCTCAGTAATTGACTCCAGTAACCATCTGCAGTAGCTGAAGGGCTTCAGTGAATGAAGGATACAGCAGCTGCTTTATGAGCGGAATATGCTGGTCAGTGGTGAATCTGTGATGCAGACAAGCTGGGTGGATAGGAAATTACTGGCTTATTATGGCTACAACATACTGTATTAAAAAATTCATGTGGCTTTTACTGTCAGCCACTGCAGCAGCAGTAGAAACTTTCTTATAAGGAAATAGGAGTTGCTTCTTTAAGATTGACTAGGATAAAGTCAATAATGCTGTTTGTCAGCAGGTGGTAGCAGATACATGAGTATTACCAGATCTTTTGTGTGGTATCGGTTATCTTTCATTTATTTTTAGTGGAGAATGAAATGTCAAACAGAAGATAGTTAAAAGGTAACAGATGCATTGCTCTTTCATAGGGAGCAATGTGTGTTTGTCCTTTTAAAGCTTCTTCGCAGATCCAATACGCTACATTTAGATCCAAAATTTAAAAATACTCTAGTAACCTGAAATATACCGTACCAATGATAATATATAAATATTTCTCTTCTTGATACTCTTAAGTAATTTAAGTAGTTTCTAAAACTCAGTCTCAGTTTTCTGTGGTAAGATTCAGATTCCTCTGTAATTTCCTTCCGCACTACAGTACTATCCAAGTAGATTGGATGAAAGATCAAAAAAAAAAGTAGATTGGTAAAAGAATTTTTTTTCCCTTTTGAAAACAGAAAATCTTCACTTACTTTACACAGGGAAGTATCTAAAATCAGATGTTTGTCTTAAGTTTAGGTGGCTGAAAAAACAAGCTGGGTGGTAAAAAAAGGCTACTTATGATAGGGAATCCCAAATTTAAATGCTAAATTATGTTTTTAGTGGTAGCCCTAGATGTTTGCTAGCAGATCTTAGGGTGCTGTGCTAGAGACCACTTGGAAGTGCCTTTTGTACTTGCTGCTGAGGGAAATGCAGCTCTGATTCTCCACAAGAAAGGAAAAGAACAGGAAATGCTTCATGTATTTTATTTGATGAGTCAATGAATTAGCAGATATTTAGATAATTTTTGATGGTCTTGTTTCATTAAGGTCCTAAGATATAGATTTGCTTTTGTGATAATGCATTTTTAGTTTCTGCCTTAAGAAGCTAAAGTGCTTTGCAATGTAAGATCCATATTTAAAATACCTTTGAGAAATTAAGTATAAATTTCTGCTGTCCTTGTGCTGAGCAAACCATGTCCTATACCATTTTATTCTTTGCATTTGATATATTAAATGTTCTATTTTTGCAGGGCGTGTTCCATTGTAAACTGGATTTTGTTTACAAGGGATGGGGTTGTCTTGAGCTATCTAAGCTTTTCAAGCTTTTGTGGGTGGAACAATTTACAACAGTCTCAATTTAAACAGGCAGTTTCTTGGGGAAATGTTGTGAGGAACTTTCTTGTCTTTAAATGTGAATGAAAACATACAAAATGCACAATATAAATAGCTATCAATGTCTTAGTGTGATGAGGTAGGTCAGTGTGACAACAGATGCATCCTCTGATGAGGAGATCAGAGGTTACATGTCAGGATTGTTGGATCACAGCCTGTGGTTATTCTGCTGTCCTTGTCAATAACATGCATGTTGATCTACAGCCACCGTGTCTTTGAGGGTCTTCTTGGGAGACGGTGAGGCTCGGGTTTTTCTTTCCCTGAGCTTGATCTCCAGGCAGAGATCTCTGAATGCAGAACCAGGAATTCTTACAATATATTGTTTTCAAGAGCACCTGAGTTGTTGACTGCTCCATACAGATGTGTTGGCCCATTGTTCCTTGGTTTGACACGTGGATTGTTACTTGCAATCAGAAAGTGTGACCACAGCCTTACCAGATGACTGCTTTCAATGAGTTATGAACAGATCAAGCCAGCAGGTGCAGAAGTTCATCAACCTCAGCAGCTGTAACCTTGGCAAACAAGCAAAGTACCTGGGCATCCCTGTCCCATTACAGTTCCAAACAGTTAACTCAAATAACAGTAATGTAGCAAAGTCTACATAACTTTTTATTCACTAGTTCATGTGAGATTCATCTCATCAGCTGGATCTGGGCAGATGTAGTGACGATCTTTGTGTGAGTGGGTGGTTTTATACAGGTTACACTCAGTGACAGGGTTGGGAGGCTTTCACTTTTTTTTGCCATTCTTCTGTTTGACACTGCAGTCAGAGTGGTGGGTGGCTGCCTTTACCAGGCAGGGTGGGTGAACTGCTGCTTCCTGCTGCTTCTCCTGCCAGCCATGGGATGCTTGGTTCTGAGGGCATGATCTGAGTCATCCACAGCAAAAGAACCCCAGTGAGGATACACTGGTTTTCTCACTGAGAGGGAACTAAGGTTGCAAAGGGATGGTACCAGAGCTGCCCTTCGATTTTCCCCTTGCTTTTTCCAGGGTGTCCTCTCCCCTTTCTGCATTCCCCACTTCCCATCTCTTCCTTTGTCTGCTAATGTGTCCTGGTTTCAGCTGGGACAGAGTAAATTGTCTTCCTAGTAGCTAGTATAGTGCTATGTTTTGAGTTCAGTATAAGAATGTTGATAACACGGATGTTTTCCAGCTACTAGGAAGACAGTTAACTCTATCACAGCTGAAACCAGGACATAATGTAATCATGAACATGTGTCTGGCAGTGCACTGGACCCTGCTGTCTGCCACCCCAAGTATGTGAGCAGAGCTGAGATTCTCCCAAGGGCACATGGCAGGTAGCTTGGGGGACAAAAGGAAGGATTAATGGGTATCTTTGGTGTCTCCATTAGGGAGAGGAAAAGCTGTAAGATGAGCAAGCTAGTGAATGGGGCAGCCCCTCACCAGAGCCTCAGTCAAGGCACAGATAGGAGGTGGGCACATATGGGGATTAGTGACATGTATACCCAATTTCTGTGCTTTGCAAAGATCCCACTGCTGAGTTCTGCTGTGGGTACAGGGGCTGCTCATCTCTCCGTCTTCTGCCTGTCTTCCAGCCTGCTCCTGCTGGAGTAGAGCAGTCTGTTGCACTGACTGTCTTGGATAGTCTTTTCAGAGCTTTGAGAGGCATGAGCAGTTTCAGTATGAAAACAGACTGAACCTAGGAGAGGAGTCTGGATGATCATTGTTGCTGTGGTCACTTCTAGGCCATCATTTTTATCTGTCCTGAAGATTTTCCTTATTTTCATGGCTGTGCTCAAAAGCTGTCTTAAATTTGCATTTGCTTCCCAATGCAACTGAAGTGAACCTGGGTCTGGTATTCATTCTAATACACGTTTCACTAAAATCCTTCACTTTCCCTGTCCTTGCCATTATCGAGTAGTTATTTTTGAGTGCTTCCATTATTTTGCAGCTGCTCTAGCCTCTTTATCTTTTTATAGTACCAGCTTTTATTGGTTATGATGTACTTGATGATGATGATGATGATAATAATAATAATGTTTTAAATATTTCTTTAGAAATAGAATTTAAAACTTGCTGTGGATTGTTTTGTGTATGTCATTTGTGGGTTTCAGGTTTAGTTGATGGATGCTACTTCATCTAACCTTGAGGTTAGCCCTGC